GAAGAAACTTGTTACTGGATAGTGGAACCGCAACCTCAAATTCTGTCTTATGATAATAGGTAAGTAGAGAGTATGAAAATCAAGCATTCAAAATGAGTGGTTCAAGCTTTGCACAACGTATCAAAGACTTAGCACATTTCGTCTTCCCAAAAATTTTGCTAGTGATATCGTCTGTAAGTTGTTCCAGTGGAGAACCAATTGGAGCAGTGAAGAAGAAGAATGTGAAGAAGAAGAAGAGTGTGAGAGAGAAATAAATGAATATTAATAATGCGGATTGATAAATGGAATTTGCAATGTGTTTGTTTCCTCACAAGTCACAGCACTCACTCCACTCTATTGCTTCTATCAGATTGTTATTGAATTATTTAATCACGGTTAAAAATATAAAGGTCAGTTACAATTTACTCCGTTGAGTTCAACATTTTTCTCCGGTATTCTAACAACATTCATCATTCACCTTCTTCCTCTTATTCCGTCTGAATTCAAAAACATAACCAGACAATTCTTCCCTCATAGCAAGCAAATCATTTCTAGTATAAGATATAGCTATATCTTGTATGGTCGAAAACCATTTTTCCGTCTTAGTATGACGCCAAAAAAGCTTAAAATAAATGTGAGAAGTAATCCACCTATACTGATATGGTTCAGGAACAATGAAATCTTCAGAAATATCATGTATATTCTCCCTAATCAACATTATAAAGTAATAATCTCATACGGAATGATAAAAGCCCAGACACATGCCTACTATTCGGAAATGATAAGACGAGTTCCAAACAGTTTGGGGGTTTCAACTTTGGGAAAAAAGTTGATTGTTTCACGGTATCGATACATGCAACAAAAACCTCAAGCAAAGTGGAAATCGGGTGCGATAACAAGATGATTTGGGAAAGGATGAGGAAAAGGGGGTTGGGGATTTCTTAAATCCAACAATCAAACCAAAAGACTTCTTTACCATATTAATAAACTTGATGCACACCAAAAAGGGTGATTTGATAAAAAAACCTAACAGCTTGAAGAAGAAACTTGTTACTGGATGGTGGAACCGCAACCTCAAATCTCTGTCTTATGATAATAGGTAAATAGAGAGTATGAATACGAGCATTCAAAACGAGTGGTTCAAGCTTTGTAAAGAGTATCCAAAGACTTAGCACATTTCGTCTTCCCAAAAATTTCGCTAGTGATATCGTCTGTAAGCTGTTCCAGTGGAGAACCCATTGGAGCAGTGAAGAAGAAGAATGTGAAGAAGAAGAAGAAGAGTGTGAGAGAGAAAAAGATGAATATTAATAGTGCGGATTGATAAATGGAATTTGCAATGTGTTTTATTAGGCACAAAATTTTAAAATAGAGAGAAAAATATTTATCTGAAATGTAGTCCAAAATATGCATATTATCAACATTTTTACAGTCATTATATTTCATGGAAAAAAAGTTCCGTACTGTTTGTAGTCCCATAAAAAATTGTGTAACAGGATAATTAATTTTTGGCATATACGACAACTGGTGTCTGTTTCCTCACAAGTCACATCACTCACTCCACTCTGTTGCTTCTATCAGATTGTTATTGAATTATTTAATCATGGTTAAAAATATAAAGGTCAATTACAATTTACTCCGTTGAGTTCAACATTTTTCTCCGGTATTCTAACAACATTCATCATCTACCTTCTTCCTCTTATTCCGAATTCAAAAGCATAACCAGACAATTCTTCCCTCATATCATACAAATCATTTCTAGTATAAGATATAGCTATATCTTGTATGGTCGAAAACTAGTTTTTCGTCTTAGTATGACGCCAAAAAAACTTAAAATAAATGCGAGAAGTAACCCATGTATACTGATATGGTTCAGGAACAATGAAATCTTCAGAAATATCATGTATATTCTCCCTAATAACCATTATAAAGTAATAATCTCTTACGGAATGATAAAAGCCCCAGACACATGCCTACTATCCGGAAATGATAAGATGAGTTCCAAACAGTTTGGGGGTTTCAACTTTGGGAAAAAATTAATTGTTTCACGGTATCGATACATGCAACAAAAATCTCAAGCAAAGTAGAAACCGGGTGCGATAACAAGAAGATTTGGGAAAGGAGGAGGAAGAGGGGGTTGGGGATTTCTTAAATCCAGCAATCAAACCAAAAAACTTCTTTAACATATTAATAAACTTGATGCACACCAAAAAGGGTGATTTGATAAAAAACCTAACAGTTTGAAGAAGAAACTTGTTACTGGATGGTGGAACCGCAACCTCAAATCTCTGTCTTATGATAATAGGTAAGTAGAGAGTATGAACACGAGCATTCAAAACGAGTGGTTCAAGCTTTGCACAGCGTATCAAAGATTTAGCACATTTCGTCTTCCCTAAAATTTCGCTAGTGATATCGTCTGTAAGCTGTTCCAGTGGAGAACCTAAGACTGGGCAACGGAACGGGACGTACCGGTACCGTTCCGGTTCGTCCCGTTTCGGTTGCGTACGGGACGGGCCGGGATATTCTAAACCGGTACACGAAATGGGACGAAATCGTAGTTTCGTACCGGTGTACCGGTACCGATTCATCCCGGTTCATTTCGGTTCCGGTCCGGTCCGTTCCGGTTCCGGTCCGGTTTATTTAATATATATTAATTTTTTTATATTTTATATTTTATATAATTTATATTTATATTTTTTATAAATTATATTTTAAAATTTAAATTTTTTTCAAATACCGCGCCTGCCCGCCCTGCCCGCCCCTGCAGACTGCAGTCTGCATAAAGCAGCACTGCAGCCCCCCCCACCCCACCCCCTACCCTTTTCCCAAGAACGGCCTTAAATTTTAAACGGAAAAATTAAAACGGCTAGTTTTTTTGTTGTATAAATTAGAGTTGTGTGTAAAAAATTTTTATTTACAAGTTTACAACTTACAAATATAATCTGAGTATTTGAGAGAATATATATTTCCAAATTACATTCATATTTATAACTTATATCATTTGGTCATTTGGTGTATTTCGGAGGAGGAATCTTCTTCAAATTTCAAGTTTCGACATCAATATTTTAATTTTCATTATAATAGTTTGTTCTTATACAAACGTTTGGTAACTTCGTTCCACTCTCTAATCTTATATTTATTTTTTGTATTTATTATTTAACTTGTAAGTTGTTCTTGTTAAGTTTCGTATTTTATAATTTATAATTTTATATCATGGAGTCTTCTAAAAAAAGTGGAAGTAAAAAAGGTCTAGTAGAATCAGTAAAAAAATTAGTTAAAAAAACTAACAAAGGTGCTAGTTCGTCTAAATCTAAAATTCCTCTTGTTAGAATAAATACAGATGAATTTACGCATGTGAATGAAACTAGTTTTTCCCGCCCCGGTCCTATAAATATTAATTCAGATAGTCCGACTCCCCATGAACTCTATGAAAGATATTATGGTATTAATCAAGAAAATGAAGAAGTGAAAACGGATGAACAATTAAATTTAGATGAAGAAGTAGATTTAGATGATACACTGACTAGCCCCGCCGCCGACCTCAATACAGTCAATAGTATAGGTATTGAAGCTCCACCTCCGGTTGGAACTACTCGTCCCCTTATTATTCCAACTAGAGGTAAGACCAAGGTACAACGTTCTTTAAAATCATATGTGTGAAAATTTTGTTATTTGAATGAAGAAAAAACTTTTAGTATATGTAATCTTTGTAAACAACATTTTAAATATACATCTGGTGGGACGGGAGGTTCAACGGGGGGATTAAAAAAACATTTGATTAACAAGCATAGTAAAGAGTGGTTTGCATATATGTCTTCTCTTGAAGTTGGTGGAAATTGTAATGTTGAAGAATCGGTTAGAGGATCAAATATGGTTCGAAGTGAGTTAAATACTTCGAACCCAAGTGGTCCTCTTACACATCGAACCTATAACAAGGATCGTGATCGTGAAAACTTTGCTAAAATGGTTGTTGTTTGTGGTTTACCTTTTAGTTTTGGAGAACATCCGGGTTTTATTGCTTATATTCGTGAAACATATAATCCTAGTTTTCAAGGTTTATCAAGAAGCATGGTAAAAAGAGATATTTTCGAATTTCAAGAAAAACATTGTCAATATTTACGTGCCTATTTTGAACTAATGGATTGTAGAGTTGCTATTACTACTGATATGGGTCGTAGTCCTAATGGTTTTGATTATTTAACTGTTACTGCGCATTGGATCGATTATAATTAGAATTTACAAAAAAGAATTATTGGTTATAAAATTTGTCAAAAGAAAAAAACCGGAATTTATATTGCTACTACTGTGTTGGAAATTTTAGATTTTTTTGGTCTTTGTGATAAAGTCGTTAGTATTACTTTAGATAATGTCTCTGCTAATTTAAATGCTATTAATTTGCTAGAACCTAGACTTTGTCCTATTAGTAAATATGCTTTTCATGTTAGATGTGCCGCGCATATATTAAATTTGGTTGTTAGTGACGGTGTGAAATTATTTGAAAATAGTTGTGATAAAATTGATAATGCTTGTTTTTACATTTTTCATATGAATAGTAGTAGTAGAATTAATCAATTTAAAGAACTTTGTAATGCATTTAAACTTCCGTTTAGAAAAGTTCCGAAGCATGTAAAAACTAGATGGAATTCCTTTTATGATATGCTTGAAGTTGCTTATGCATATAGGCAATTTAGAATATTTTTGAAATCATTTTATGATGCTACTAAAAATTTTTCTGGAATATATTATCCTACTATTTCTGAAATTTTAATACACATATGTGAGATTTCATCTATTTTTTCTGAATATAAAACAAATACTTTATTCACACATGTTAACACAAACCATAATGAACCATACAATAAACAATCATATACAATTTGAATTTGTATAAACAAGAAAGAGATGCTGGCAAATTTTAGATAATGTTTACTATGACGCACAATTAAATCAAACCCTAGCTATTCTATTTAATTTATGGTTTGTGTTAACATGTGTGAATGATTTTGGCTTTTACAGATCTTTCAAGCACTTAGCACTCACTTGCAATGGCTATAAGTGAGTGATTACTTCATTGTCAAATTGGATGTATTGGTGATTTCTCTAATGACTTTCTATTGCAGGGCTTCAATTTGAGAATTCATGTGAAGTTGGTGTTTTTTCAAAGCTAACCAATACATATTCTTTGGTTGCTATTGGGGCTTCTGAAAACTTCTACAGGTATGAGATTGTGATAAATTCGACCCAATAGGTTCTTAGCTCAGTGAAGATTTTATGTTGTGCAGCGTGTTTGAGGATGCGTTACCTGAAAATTTTCCAGTGATCAAAACTTCCATTGGAGGAACAAGGATAATTGGAAGACTCTGTGCTGGTACTTGACAAACACTCTAAACTACGGAAACTTTAACATGTTCACTGAGTCTTGATTTTTGTGCAGGAAACAAAAATGGGCTTCTTTTGCCTCACACTACTACAGATCAAGGTACTACTAATATAATGATATCATGTTGTAGATATGTGTGTATTACTGGACAAGTATGCATAAATAACTTTTTTCTGTTTGTGCTGGAAGAACTTTGGCACTTGAGGAATAGTCTCCCGGACAGAGTAGTGGTTCATCGCATTGAAGAGCGGTTATCTGCACTCGGAAACTGCATAGCATGCAATGATTATGAATCTCTTGCACATGTAGATCTTGACAAGGTAAATTATCTGTTGGCTATTGGAATGCAATTTCTGTACATCTCTATCTCGACTTTAATCACGGCAATTGTAGTATATCATTGGATGCACATAATTCATCTGCAGTTTTTATTTTATAGTTGAAAACCCAACAACTCTCTGAGTTTAAAAGTAAATCTTTGTCATGTATGATAGCATTAGTATTTTGTTTCAACGTCCAGAAATGTCCAATAGGATAAGGGATGTTTACCTCACCGTTGGATTTTGTTTAAAGTAAGATTGCAGCACATGATGTGAACCCTGTCACGAACAAAAAACTTGTTATTCAAATCTTCAAGGGTAGACGGGCAGGCCCTTTATCCATCAAGCTTCAGACCATTGCCCTCGGGGTTAACACGGTTACTTAAAAGTAGAGTGTCTTTACAAGTTGTAGAACTCTACAATGTCAGCAGGGTTGTTTCTCTGCCTGCTTGTGTTATGCTTTTCTTAAGAGTTGTTCCAGAAGATGGTAATTTTTGTTTGTTTTTTCAACTAATACGATATGTAGATTTACATTTATTTGTTATACGCCTATTGTTTTACGTTGAAATTAGACTCCTATTATTGTTGTCATGGATCTTGACTTGTGAGTCTACTCATCTGAAAAGATTGACAGATGTTAGTTTTATCAGGAAACTGAAGAGATGATTGCTGATGTTCTTGGTGTGGAAGTTTTACGGCATACAATAGCAGATAATATTCTTGTTGGAAGCTATTGTGCTTTCTCAAACTTGGGAGGCTTGGTAAGTATTCACTCTTAATAAAAATACAGGGTAAATGGTGAATGTGATTGAAGGCAAACTTGCTCGCGTAGTGTCCAACGTATACATGTGTTAAATTAACATGTTATGAATAAGCAATGTTGCTGTTAATTAATCTAAATTTGTGAATTAGCCATGCTAAATATATATATGGTAAATTAAAGCTGGCATGTTATGGGCGTGGGCTCAGGTACATCCTCATGCATCTATTGAAGAGATGACGGAGCTTGCACGTCTCCTTGGTATTCCTGTGACTGCAGGAACTGTGAACCGCGGTAGTGAAGTGATAGCTGCTGGTATGATTGTCAACGACTGGGCAGCGTTTTGTGGGTCAGACACAACAGCAACAGAAGTGGCTGTTATCGACAACATTTTCAAGTTGCAGGGGGCTCAACCCAGTCTTAATGAGATCAGGAAATCTGTGATCGACATGTACGTTTGAGTTATTTTTGTATACATACTGAGTTTTGTGTGTTAATTGATTCTATGCACAGACTACGGTGAATCTTAATCATGCAGTACATTCATCCAATTAACAAAGTATGAGTCTGAGTTGCTATTAGAGTTGTAACAAGTCACAATGAAATGATCTTTACATATTCTAATGTTATTTGACTGCAGTCAATTTTATATTTCCACTTGTGCTGTATATTTTTCATTTTTATTTGAATTTGATGAAACATAATTTACTTATTTTTATAAGGATTCATATTTTAAGTGTGTAAATTACTCTACTCTAATTAAACTATACATGTTTTTCATTTGAATCTCGTGAAAGATAATTACTTCTTCATACCCAAGTATAATTAATGTGTGTAAATTATCATAATTAAGTAATTTAATGAGTTAATAATGTTCTTAATGTGTAAATATTGTTTTAGTATATAGTGGTATAATGTTTTCATAAATATAAACGATTTATCATTTGGCAATCAAGAATTTATTTAACTTTAAGTATGCAATGAAAAATGTGATTACTTAAGTGTGTTCGGTACAACGAAAAATGTTTTTTTCTTTTTTAAAAAAAAGAATAGAATGATTTCTAAAACAATAATAAAGTTGCTACTTATTTTCTTGAAATGAGAAATATTTTTTTAATAAGATTTTTATGAGTATTATAACCAAAACTTAACATTGATAAAGGTAATAAAGTAACTTAATTTAGAAGTTCAAATATTGATATCAATTGTGAAAACAATCATTGTTAATGTTGTAAAATATTCATAATCCAATATTTAATTTGCTTTTTACTCTTAGCGAATGGCACACTAATTTATTAGAATCCTAGTTTGCAAGTAGTAAAAATCAAGACTAAAAGATGATGTGGTTTATCTTTGAGAATTTTTTTTAAGTGTATGATATATAATTTTATGTCAGTTTAATTTTTTGATCTCGCATATTTATTTTATTTCAAATTTTATTTTATTAATAGGTTATGTGTTTTCTCAAACTACAATTATGCATTCATTAATTTTATCATTTTTTCTAAATAATATTCTTCTTAAAAAAATTCTTACAATATCAACCTATCTGTTTTTGTCACCTTAGAATTGCAATATTTTTATTTTCTTACTTAAGTCACAATTTTTTAAAAGAAAAAATAATAGTCTTTTGGAGATAATTTTTTTCTTCTTCTCAAAAATACTACTATACTATATAAGTTCATGACATTTCTAGTGACCAAATAAGTAAAATAATTATTTAATTATTGAGCCATGAAATGTTAAAGTTGGATTGCAACGTATGACAAAGAGAGATAACTGTATGAATATATTTTAATGCAATTAATACATACATAATTATTAAAATAGTGATATATTGCTAACAAATTTCTTATTTATTCATATAGTAAATAAATTCACATTAATTTAGCAAATATTTCATTGATCATGACAATCAAAATTAATTTGCATTCCTATAATCTTCTATAGTACAAAGGAGTTAAGATATAAATCCAAATATACCTACACACATATAATAATGCATGCAATATTAAAATCTGAATTTTCCTATAAAATACTATAAAATTATGTGGCGTTCATAAAATAAATTATTAAACTTATATTAAGGAAAAAGTTGAATAACATTTTCTATAAATACTTTATGTTATAAAAAGGATGTAAGGCCCAAAAGTATGACTTGATTTGGTTTTAATGGACTTTGAGATTTGAGTCTTACATCTGAAAAACTCTTATTATAACTAGGTGAAATTTTATAGGAAAAATTATGATATACTTTACTATTAATTAGAAAAACTTTATGTCACATATTGAAGAAAATATACTTCGATGTATGTAATTTTGCTATGAAATATGTAAAAATAGGGAGAGAAGCAAGCGAGATTGAGGAGGGAGGCAAACGAGATTTGTATATATACCAGATACATATGAATCACACTCTATACATATACTTGTAAGTATCTTGTGTGATTCACATGTATTTGAGATATCAAATACACGGGAGAGTGGCGAGCGAGATTTGTTATGTATCTCAACTACATATGAATTCACTTGTATAAAATGTAGATTAAAAAAAACACTTAATTTTAACCTTATGTATCCGATATCTATGTATCTGGACATCACCCCTACACTTGCCCCATATGCAAATTTCACTCTTTGGAGATTATTTTGGTGATCATAATAAAAGGTATGGATTGTCATGTGGATAATAGATTGACCTGTTATATGAAATTGGCATTTCATTCAACTAAATTAGTAAGTTACAATTTTTTTAAAAAAATAATAATATTCTCAAAGGGTGGAAGATGCATATAACAAATAATAATATAGTTTACAACAGTAGGTCTTTATCTCATTCACTAATTTGTAACAATGACATCCCAAGAATTTGAACTTTACAATGAAGAATATGGAAAGAATTAAGTAAGAATGTCAATGGTTCCAACACAAAAAAGGGAAGCTCGATGTACTAAGTTTCTGCTATGTGCGTATCCTGTAACGATCTAGACTATGTAATCTAGTCCAACCTTACATTTGTACAAGAGGTTGTCATTTCATAGTTTGAACTTGTAACTTCCTAGGCCACATAAAGGTGAACATGAGTGGTGCTTACACCTCCTTGGATCAAACTACTACTCATGTAAATTACATTGTTGCAGGTATGGATGCTCATAGCTAACATGTTTGTTCCAATAGGACTTGTACTTTTGGATACCAATGTCTAACCATGGTTTCATAACTCCATCATAATGAATCACAGCTGCCTGCTCGATTTGTGCTCGTGTGACACCCGAGTCATACCCCAACCCGAGTAGATGCCATGTCCTGTCCAGAGCATGAGTGTGTTTGTAAAATGTCATCCAACCAAGTGGTAAACTACCAGCTTTCACTAATCGTCTCTTACTTCCCTGCATCAACGAAAATTACATACACTGAGTGTTTCTAGCAATGAAGAAAAAGGAGAAGAGTATAATAAAAACAACTATAAGTGTCTAATGGATTAACCCCATGACATGGTTGTCCATTCTATCTAATATCAATCTCTTCTTTTTTTTTTTTATGACAGTAGAGTCTAGTCAACTTGTGCGCACCTCGACTAACCAAGATACGGGCAGAAGGGAAGAATAATATCACCTAGAGTCAACCAAACTCATAGAACTACTAAAAAATCATTAATGATTTCAACAAGCAAGATTTGCAAACAACAGAATATAACTTATACCAGCTCCAAGTACTTGTGATAGAGAGCAGTTAAGTTTCGCTTCCTCCACTCCTGCAGATCAAATACATTCATCCCATATGCCCAAGTGCATGTGTTTGCATCGAACCTTGTTGCCACCGAGGGGTCTGTGAAATTGATGAACATATCCATTCGGCGGAATGAAGGCTCACCTTCCACACAAGTCTCAACTGCACCATTCACTTTGCCCTTAATGTTGATGTGCCAAAGTCTGGTTAGATCTTTTCGCACAACCACATCATGGTCGAGGAACACAATCTTGTTCACAGAAGGAAAAATATCAGGAAGATAAAAACGCAAGTGATTCAGCGCAGAAACATATCTTGGATCGAGGCCTTTTTGCTTCTGCTGATCCTCATTGTATTTGATTGATAACAATTCAAAACCGCCTATGCTCTGGATTTGAATGGTAGCTTTTCCAGGAGGATTCATCAAGAACCACATCGACATCGCTGGCAGGTTGAGAGAATCAGTCACTATATGGAAGACAATTTTCTCTGGATCCTGCCAAGTACATAAACATTTACCTTCAATAAAGACATATTTGTGATGATTTAGTTTTCAAATTCAAAATTTCAAATTAGCAGTTACTATTTGCTATACATGTACCAAGAAAACTAGTCAAACTTCCTCTGCTTACCTTATTCCTATTGCATATAAGCTGATGAAACTACAGTATTACTAGCAAATAGTCTTAAAAATGTATTTGCAGATTTGAGGACGACCGAGTAATATCAACTTATTTCCTAATAGTAAGTTATTTTTGTACATGAACTAGAATTAGTCACTTCCAAAATCAGGCCAAAGATTCTTTCCTACAGCTCCGTTAAGAAAATGAAGATGAATATTGTTAACTAAACATGAAAAACAAGTGTTTTTCCTCTGCAGGCCATCCATTTTGTCCAGTTGTCCTAAAATTAATGTTGGATATATCATAAAATCAAATACTCAGTAAGCTTAGTGTTCAACATTCCAGTGCTTATCAAGTTACAAGATGGCAGAAATCAGAACCAATCTCTCAGTTAAGGGATTTGATTAGTATCTTCTTCAGAACCACCTAGATTTACTTGCTTCTTGGAACCCTTGGTGTATGAACGTAGCATTAATGACGTAAAGCACATGGAGGAATCGTATTCAAGAAAGAAATGTGATCCCAAATGAGAAAACACACAGATCGCATACCTTAGCGGTTGAAACAGTTGAATTGACAACCACAGAACATGCCAAAACATTGTCTGAGAAAACAGCAAAGTGATAGAGATTGGGATCCTGCAGTTTGTGTTGGTTAGGAAACTCCCGCTCCTCAGGCTGCAGATCAAAATATTCTGTGGTCAACCGCATGGAAAGGCAATGAAGGCCTTTTGGTGTAGTTCTTGCAGCGAGCTGTACGAGGAAGGAAGTATGATCCCTTTGTGATCGAAGCTGTTCTTCAGCATTATACATCATGGCACGTAGTGTATTCACCATAGCTGAGCAATCAGGGTATATTCTGCTTGCTTTCAGCAGGGTCCCATCCATGGCTTTCATCTTTTGTGTGGCCCTAGAAAACAAGCTGCTCTTAGATTATACATACAACATATTAACTATTTAAAAACAGCATTCAGTTTCCTATTTTAAACAATTATCATGAGCCTTGGCGTAACTTGTAAAGTTGTTGACATGTGACCGGGAGGTCACGGGTTCAAGCTGTGGAAACAACCTCTTGCATAAATGCAGGGTAAGATGGCATACAAAAGACCCTTATGGTCTGGCTTTCCCTGGAGCCGCACATAAGCGGGAGTAAAGTGCTCTCGTTTGGAATATCCTCAGGTCAACATCAAGTGAGTATTCTTGTCTCTTTAAAGACAGTAACAAACTTAATATGTCAGTTCTACTCTAAATAGATTATCATCTGTCTAAGAGTAGAGCA